TCTCACCCAATAAAGGAATATTTCATATATCAGTCTACTCTTCATTCTATCAGAAACAGTTATCACAGCTCGTACATTTGCTTTTTACACATATATGTAAGCATTGAGCCAAATGTAATAATGCCAACATACTGAAGGAACAACATTTGTCTCTTATATATGATACATCTATATATACACTGTCAAAGATACTTGAGTGTCTTTGAGTGAAGATTTAAGGTGATGGGACATATAAATAGCTGCAACTTGAATCTTTACTGAAGCTCAGTATTTGACACAGAGTTCACTCACATGTGCTGTACCAGTGTACCTGCACATGTGATGTGACAATAGAAGTGATTTGATTTGAGAGTTCAAACTCACTGCTGTAATAACTAATAATGATTAGTATAATAACTATAATATTGGCCATATCATATTTACACTGACTTTAGTCTCATGAACAACATTAGCTAATTGTTATTTACTAGCTAATCTTAAATGACTGTTCAGTACAGATATGAAGCCCAACAATCATGTTTTACAGTCCTGTGGTCTCAGCCTCAGATACTTATTAAATCACACAAAGCTCATGTAGAAACAAACAAACAAACAAAATATTTTCTCCTTCATTTCTGTCAACCACACGTTTCCAGCTATCATGGTTGCTAGGCAACCTGGGCAGTGCTACGGAGGCTAGACCGTCCCATTTCACAACCCATTTCCGGCCTTAGCGGTCTTTGAGTACACGGCCCTTGAGGACCGTTGAGGCTGCGTACTTTAAGGCTGCAGACCCTGAATTGGGATACAGCCCATGTGTACACCTAAGAGGCTGACATGCAGACCAACAATGCTGAATCTAGAACCTTCTCTCCGTGAACATGGAGCCAGATGTGTTTGACGCATCTCAAACACAACCTCACCTGAGTCAGAAACCACATCAGATGATCGAGTTCTACCATCTGTCCACTAGATGGAGATGACTGACAAAGATATCAGCACAGGTCTGAAAGCATGTGTGGATCTCACACAAATGCACACAGACAGTTTATTAGGCACATCTGTTCAACTGTATGTTAAAGCAAAAATGTAATTAGTCTGACATGGCAGCACCTCCTGGTTCAGGACCGCCTGCTGGAGTTCAGACTGAGGGATATTCAGACTCAGAGCCTTTCTCTTCGTTTAACACGATCAGCACACAGACAGGATTTACCTCAGTGTGACAGGAAGGCTTTTATGCTTTCTGTTTGGTGAAGTCACCTGATTAAACACGTCACCTGTTCACGTCAGTGATGCCTATTTGAGTTCATCACAGTGTAGACCAGGCTTGTAAAACATACAGCCCAGGGACCAGATTCTAAAAGTGTGAACAGAGATCTTCATAAGTTTTACAGCTATTCCTACTGATACAGATCAGTGCCCATTCAATGCTACAGCAAAGTAACGAAGTTGTATCTATCCATCCATTATCTTCTGCTTTTCCTTGTCAGGGTCGGTGAGAGATGGGGGTACACTCTGAACAGCCTGAAGTTACAGATTTCTGTGATTTTACACTTTCACTTCTTAAAATAAGCAAAGAGTTGAGCTTTTCATTTTTTATTTAATCTCAGGGATTAAATGTGTAGTTAAACGTCTGTGCACTGGCAGAAAGAATGTTTCACCGGTCCGGCCCACATAAGATCAGAATGGGCTGGATGTGGCCCACCGTGTAAAATGACACAAGTTTACGTATATGTATGGGGACCTCCAGAGCCTTTCCAACGGCTGCGGACGTGGAGGAAAGCAGTGTAGTGGAAACGACACACTCTTCACTAGTTAAAAGCTTTCTTCTTTGTGAATGAGCGATACATGTTTTTATTAAACATTTGAACATAATACTACACAAACTCTCGTATAAGATATAAAGTCAGATACATGTTTTGAAATGACGCATAGAGCAGCTACAAAAAAATGATGTACAAACAGAGCGCTGCGGTCAGCGAAAGTTTGGGTCCTTCGCTCCAGCTAGCGGTCAGCGCAGCGCGTGCCGTGTCCTGAGAGGGCCTTTAGACGTTTTTAGTAAGGCTGTGTGCTGGTGAGCCTCACAGCTTCCTCGTGTTGTTTCAGTGTCCCTGCTTTTATGGCGTGCGTGTGTTGGGGGATGTCTGAGTGCTCTAAATATTAATGGTAAATATAGTTCTCTGCAGCTAAGTGAGAACACTGCTGACCAAAGGGTTAAAAATAAAGGTGCATTATACTTTTCGGGTGTTCCTTTAACCGTGTCTCATTAACACCGTTTGTAAAAATTTAGAGGACTTCACACTTTAAACATCATATTGTTCCAGTCCCACCCTGATAGGACTGTGAAAATACTGTGTGAGTGTGTGTCTCTCTGTGTGTAGGTGTTTTGTCTGTGTGTGTGTGTGTGTGGGGGGGGGGGGGGGGGGGGGGGGGTATGTACCTGTGTGTAAGTGTGCGTGTTTGTGGTTTGCGGAAACAGCAGCAGGGTGGGAGCGCCCTTCTCTGTCCCCGCCCCCTCAGTGTCCCCGCCCCTCTCCGTGCGCTTCCTGCTCAGGTGAAGCAGCTGAGGGTGTTGGAATGTGTCGGTGCTGTCGGTGATTCGTGCTGCGGGACAAACATGGAGGTCGGACTTCTCCTCTTCCTCCTATGACTATGAGCAGCGACGCGTGCGGGAACAGCAGAGGATCTTGGCTGTGACGCTGCGGGCACTCTTGAGGCGTCCAGGTGTGGCTGCTCCACCTGCGGCTGCGCGATCACTGCTGCAGTTTTGACGGGATTTTTGCGCCCCCGGTCAGTTTGCGTCTGCCGGAGCTCACCATGCCGGAGCTGATCAGCGTCACGGAGTTCATCGACGAGACCAATGAAGACTACAAAGCTCCAACCACCTCCAACTTCACTACCCGGATGGGCCACTGCAGGAATGCGGTGGGAGCTCTTGAGGAGGTGAGGAAACAAGGACACACACACACACACGGTTGGAAGTCGGGGATTATAAGAGTTTAATAAGGTGGTAAAAAGGCTTCCACTGAGCCTCTCTGTAAATACCCGGAAAGTCCGGTTTGTTCCTTTTTTCATGAACGTGGTTTGTTTTCCCGTGTGTGGGATTGAAGAGGGTTTTAGTCACAGCCTGTTTTCACTGTTTGTGGACCTACAGTGTGAATAAACGGTGATTTCTACTGCTTTTCAAACTTTCCAAGCAACAGAGCGTCAAACGAATCTGTTTTATTCGAAAGAGGAACTGAGAGAAACACTTCCTTCTGTAGACATTTTGTAAGATTTAACAGCTTCTTTTTATTTTCTTTTTGCAACACGATGATGAAGCATATTTCTAAAACTGAAGAGATGAGGAAGCAGAAGTTAAAGGTCAAAGGTTTCAGGTGGGAGAATAAGATGGGGCTGAAGGCTTTCCCCACAGGGATGCCCTGGGAAAAAACAGGGCCGCCCTGGGAAAAAACAGGGCCGTGGGCACAGACATGTGAAAGGCCCCAAACTGCCCTCAAGCTCAGGAGGAAGTCGTCACTGGCTGTTTTTAGTCGTATTTAGAGAAAATATCTTAAAGTAAATTAACGTGATGATTGTACTGTAAACTCAATGATAATATTCATGAAAGGTTAAGGTAGTATTAGCAAAGCCACTCTTCCACTATCACCAACTCGGCTCAACTCGATACACCTAGACTGGATCGTTTCGGTTGTTTTCCATTACAGTGGAGCACCACCTCAGTGTGGGTGAGATTGTCATCAGTGAAGGACAGTGAGGAGATTGTGGACCTGGTGCTAAACTGAGGTTAAATGTCTGCAGCACATCGTTGGACCATGTCGTTGGGTTTTGTGCAGTGTTTCACCCATATTGGAAAATAAAAAACAGACCTTCAATAGAAGCATATTTATGAGCAGCACATGAATGAAAAGTCTGACAGCCCCCAATTTTAAACAGAATTAAAAACACAAGTAATGATGATGCTGGCGCAGTTTAACGTGGAAGGGAATCTGTTTACACGCTGCAAAGAGGCAGAGCCATTGCTGAGTTGGTGAGCTCAGGTTGAGTGGTAGAAAACGTGTTTCCAGCATCCACAGCAGCTGTTCCTATGATCAACATTTTTTTTCCTGTGACTACCATTAAAACCTTTACTGGGAAACAGCGAGCGGGAGTCCTTTGTCAAAGCAGCTAACACATTTTAACATGAAGAAAAGCAAATTCTGCAGCTGCTCCGCCCGCTCCTGTTTGTGTTACATGGAGAAAAATCTGCATAAGCCTCCAGAAGTTGTATTAAAATTTGCAGATGAACTGTTAACTTGGTCTGATACATGTTTACATTATACAGCTAGCTGAAGGCTGACGTTCTATTTTACATGGAAGCGGTGTTACATGGTGTGTGTTATCTGGCTTCATGGATAGATAGAGTTGGGTGTCATTTGCATAGCAGTGAAAATGTATGCTATTCCTTCTGATAATACTGTCTAAGGGAAGCATGTATAATGTAAATAAAATTGGTCCTAGCACTGAACCCTGTGGAACTCCATAATTAACCTCAGCATGTGAAGAGGACTCTCCATTTACATGAACAAATTGGAGTCTATTAGATGGATATGATACAAACCACTGCAGTGCAGTACCTGTAATACCTACAGCATGTTCTAATCGCTCTGATAGGATATTATGGTCGACAGTATCGAACGCTGCACTAAGGTCTAGCAGGACAAGCACAGAGATGAGTCCACTGTCAAAGGCCATAAGAAGATCATTTGTAACCTTCACTAAAGCTGTTTCTGTGCTGGGATGAGCTCTGAAACCTGACTGAAACTCTTCAAATAAGCCATTCCTCTGCAGATGATCTGTTAGCTGTTTGACAACTACTCTTTCAAGAATGTTTGATATGAAAGGAAGGTTAGCGATTCGCCTATAATTAGCTAAGACCGCTAGGTCTAGAGATGGCCTTTTTAGTAAAGGTTTAACTACTGCCAGCTTGAAGGCCTGTGGTACATAGCTGATTAATGGAGGTGATTGACAAACATTGATTATGTTTGCTTACTAAAGGAGTTAGAAACTCCTCTACATCAAACATCTTGGCCGAGCATAAGAAAACACACGCTTAGGTCGTATTAGGTGTGCTCATTTAATTGTTTCACAAATCTGGCCATGTCTTTGAAAGCTGACCTCAGGGCAGGAAAAGCTTAGGCGTTAGTGATCACACTTCGTGCATACTGGCCTGAGACTGTTAATGGGACAGAAAGCTGTTCAGTGAGGACGTTGTTGTTGTTGTTGTTTTAATACATATATGCTCTTTTGTGGTCATGTTTTAGTTTTTTTTCTCTCTTTGAGTCTTTGATATCACGTTATAGTTGCCAGCAAGTCTTTCAGGACAGGAGTCCATTGGTTATTCATGGCTTCCTGTCAATAATGAAGGCATTAAATATTTTTTTCACAGGTTTCCTTGTTGATGGATAAATAGAACAGTGTGTCAGAGAGGTTATTTATTAATTCTTAGCATAAAGAGTCAAATGCTCTGAAAAGAAGAGACAACCTGGATGTTTTTTAGGGAGGTGATCAGGGATGGATTAAACAATCTCTTATTTCACTTTGTGTGTTTTTGTGGGGACTTTTGTTTGGGTTCCTCTTTTCTTTTTCTTTTTTTTTAATGGTTTCTAGTTTTTCAGATTCCTTCTGAGACTTTATTGGTTCTAAGGACAGTAAATATTTTTCCCCATCAGTGTAGAGGCCATCTGTTGTTGTTGAGGAGCTGTTGGATTACAGCTCAGAGCACAGAGTTGAACGCTGGTTCCTCTCAGCATAAAGTGAAGAAATCTATGTCCTTGCAGCGAATGCTTTAAAAGCACAACTGAAAACCTGACGTGAGGTCTGTAGAAATCGCAGGTCTGCTGATCATGTCCTCCTCCTCCTGTTGCATGCTGGGATGTTCCCACTCAGTAGACCCGAGGCAATGGTAGAGCCTCACTCCTCTGATCGAGTCTCGACATGATTCGCCTCACCTTGGTCCTCCTGCTGTCTCCGATCTTTGCTTTCCTCTCAGTTAAATCCCTCCATTCTCTCCTCTTTCCTTTGTCATCTTTCTTTGTCTCGTCCTCTTTCTCTCTCTCCTTTGGTCACTTTTAAAGCTCTTCTCTTCACGTTTGAAGCTCATCTCTGTTTCTGTTGTGTCTCAACTTGTCTGAAGTGATGTGAAAGGAATTAAAGTCTCCAATAAATCATCAGCTCCTCCCTCATCTTCAGACGGTAGAATAATTACAGTAAACACATGAAATCAGCATCAGTGTGCTGAATGGTAAAAACAGCAGATGAGTACTTTACACAGTCCCTGCTGGTCTGATCAGTGTTGTGCCCATTCAGGTTTCTTTATCTGCTTCATCTTCCACTCGTCACACTGATCTGCTCACCTGCGTTCACTAATGTAAAATGAGTGTTGTTGCACGTGTTAAAAGCAGCTGAGCAGAGCTGGTGTGCAGAGGCTGTGAAACTGAGGAAACCCTAAAAACAGGAAGCGTCTCGGCTGCTTCTACTGTCAGAAAACTGCTGTGAAATGTTCTGTTTTGATGATTGCCACTCTCCAAATCCACACTTTGGCTCGTGCCTCATCCTGTAGACCTGAGACCTCTGTTTGAATAAATATCACCACTACTGTGAGCTTTAGCAGCTCTACATTGTTGCCACTCGGTTACAGGAAAATTCATGATGATGATTACTTTTAGTCAATAACTGTAATCTCAATGATTTTACAGTCATTACATTAACAGTTTTACAGACTGTTTCTTTGAACTTCAGTGTAAAAACCGTGAGGGTGGTGGGGACATGCGACGTCCTGCAGACAGTTTTAGACACACGTTGGTGGACGTTTCTGACCTCACAAGACAAAGCAGCGCCCCTGCTCGCCTGCAGCCTCCAAGTCAGGATGTCTGCAGGTGGAGGTGGGGCGAAAAGAAGTCAGGGCACCAATAACCTCACCTGCCTTCAGACACCTGCATGCATGCTGAGAGTGATGAAGGCCAACTACCAGTCAGTTAGTTATGATTAGTCAATTGGGCATCTTCATCCATTAACATCCTCCTAGATGTTTGCCTGCAACCTCATAGTAGGTTCCAAAGTCCAAAGAGCTGCATGTTGGGATCACTGGTGATTCTAAACTGACCATGAGTGTGATGTAGATAAGGGGGGGAAATGATGTACTTGATTTATAACACAGGGAAAAACCAGAGCTTTGTGCTGAAAATGAATTCAGTAGGTAACAGGGGTAATTACCATTAATTATCATTAAATATGAATCCTCTGACGTCAGCCTGAAACAGTCTGAAGGGGCTGCTGGTAAACTTTGATCAGACAGTTTGACTGACGTATCAGCAGAGGAAGTGATCCCCCTTTATCTTTGCTGACCAGGTCAATGATCTATGTGGTGTACAATCATGCACTAAGTTACTATATTTAACCTTTATGACCTCTTTACACCCTTGCAACACCCTTATTAGGGACATAATGAAAGCTCGTGGGTGGGCTGCTGTGACATGAGCCTGTTGGCGTTTGTACCAAGATTTCAACGCTGTCCTCAGAGACCTGCCCTGTGTGTTGTTTGTGTGTTTGCAGGCGTTTCATTGAGATTATTGCATCATTCATCCTGTAGGAGCGGTGTTTTCTACGTTTAACCCGTCCTGTAGCTCTTTTTCAGTGAGTGCTTTGGTGAATTTGCAGGTAAACTCTCACAAACACAAGAAGACCATGAATATTTATCTAGAAGGCCCTGCCAGGACCTCAGTGCTGTGAGACCATCAATCATCCACCGTACTGAGTTGAGCTGTTTCTGAGTTCTTTGTATTTGTGCTCGATCTGTTGTTTGGTCTTTGGCTAAGCTGAATGAAGTCGCTGCTCTACACCTGAGCTCACTTGTCGCTTCGCTGTGTTTCTGTGCAGAGATTTGAAATCGGCTCCGGTGTTTGATGAGTGGCTCATCTTGAACCAGTTTTTGGTCAAAGAATAACCAAGTGCATGTTTTTCTCTCTGAGTCATGGACCTGTGACTCAGAGCTGTAGACGCTTAGGTGAACCCCACAGATGAGGTCGGCAGGAAAACACCTGAAGGTCATGTGACTGAACCTCTGTGGTCTCATCAGTCATGCAAACTATGGTAAAGGCTTAGATCGCATGGCCTCTTCAGTCTCCCTCCCACAGCCTCGGGTTAGACACAAGCAGACTTCATGTTCCTGACTAACATGAAGCTAATGCTGTAGCTCGTGTTACCACTCAAAGGTTTAATTTAGGCTGCGTTTTAGCCTCAGGCTAACGAGGAGAGTTTCAGGAACTAGAAGACGTTAGCTTTCAGATCAGCTCTCCTGCAGGCACGCCGGCTTTACAGAATATGAGCTCCCTTTGGGTACGTCAAACAGGTGAAAGAATTCCTTCTGAAGCCCTAACCAGATTCCTGTGAATACAGTGGGCGTGGCTATGTCAGGTTCTGTGTGTTCGCCAGAGCTGATCGTGCCAATCAATACAATACTGATGATTCCATGTGATGTCCTGCAGATCACAGAAGCAGCGCTCTTATTTTAGGGAGTAATGCACCAAACTGTACCGCGCAGATGAGGAGGGACACAGGAAACAGGAACAGCACAGAGAATCTGATCATTTTCAGAACATAAGATTCAGTTCATTACAGATTTATTAATATACAACAATGCACATCTCAAGGTGCTTTGTAAGATAAAGACCCTAAAATAATAAATATAATACTACAATAATACCCCCTGTGAGGAAGCACTTGGTGACAGGGGGGAGGAAGAACTTTCTTTTAACAGAACCAGGCTAATGTTTGGGGGAGGAAAAAGTTGATGCAACAGTAAAACACAAAAAGAACTGACTAAACTTTATGAAATGCTGCCAGCATTCTAAAGCCTTGAGAAGGTCAGTAGCTGTGGCCGCTGGGCGCTGTCCCTCAGCAGGCGTCTTCGGATTATGTTGAACTGCAAGAATAAAAAGATCTGCTTCAAAGGTCTGAATGAAACAGTTTCTGTGAGTGAGAGGTGTCTGCTAAAAAAAAAAAGCACCTTTAATAGCAGCACTGTTTTCATCAGTCTCTTATTAGATGTGTGATGTCTTGATAATAACTCTGCTTCGGGTAAAACATGCAGACTCTGCAGTCCGTCCACGCACGTCAGCTCAGGGTATGAAGGGTGACAGTCTGAGATGAACACCAGCAGTGGTGAACGGTTCATACTGACTATAAACACACTTTTTCTTTAACTTTGACGTGTAAGCATTAGAGGCATGGCTCCTAATCTGCGTGCTGTTTCTTCTCCTCAGGCTCTCGACTTGGACCGGTCCGTTCTCTACAAGATCAAGAAGTCAGTGAAGGCCATCAACTCGTCTGGTCTGGGTGAGAGATGCAGTTTCATGTCAGTCTGACCCAAAATAACAACGCTTGTCACCACAGTCTCACTTTGACTGTCACTTCCTGTTTGTGGTAGCACACTGCGCTCAGATACAAACTACCAAAATAAAAGCAGTTTTTTTATTCAGGTCAGTGCGGGTGGGGTGGGTTCGTCAGCAGCCGCGTGCTGCTGGTGGGTCTCTGTTCGGGCCGGTGGAGTCTCACCTCCAAACATTCCTGTCATGCTTCCCCGTGTCCCGGCATGCTGAGGGATACGCCCACATCCACACTACAGTGCAAACAGAGGAAAGGCCGAGTCCTTCACACACTCAGCAAACACACAAGATCCGAACATTATTCAGCACTTCTGCAAAAACTGACAGGAAACGCATCATTCAGCAGTTTCACAGACAGAAGGCACTGCATGACCAGAAGTATGTGGACAGCAGAGAGGTTCTGAAATATTTAGCTTCTCTCTGTGACCTGCAGGTTTATGTTGGAGGTAAATCTCCATGTATATACCAAAGATTCAGAGCGGCTCGGTGCCTCAGCTCGAGGGGAACAGGCCATTTTCTCTGCTAAAGAAATGCAGCGGGTACACACAGACATGTCCAACTGAAGCCCACTTTTAAATCATCAGAATTATTTAAAGCTGAAAAATTATACGAAAAACTGTAAAAAATTAAGATTTTGTTTCTCTCCTTTTATTTTTCTACATTTAATTTTTCGTATCAAAAGGGACTAAATTAAATTAACTAGAAATGTTTTTGGAAAAATCTTTTGTTGCAATATAAAATTCATTTAAATTAATTTCAATATAATTTCAATAAATTTACATTTATTTTAATACATTCACATTCATTATTTGTTTAAAATATTTAAAATAAATATTTATGTTTTAATTGTTTAGATTTGTTTATTTTAATTTGAGGTGTGTATTTTATTTCTGTTCATTTATATATCTCCAGTTTTTCTCAGTATTTAGTATCATATTTTTATTTATTCTCTTTGTCTCCTCTTATATTTATTGTTTTTAATTACTTTTTATTTTATTACTTTTTTATTCACACGTGTTTGTTGTCCTTGTTTTTTCCACATGGTGGAGTGGATGGTTTTTGTTTTCACACAGAGTTTAATCATTTTTGTTTTTGGAGTTAAATGAAAGATGATCCGAGCTGCAGTCCGCATTTATTTAAAGTGTTTTCTGTGTCGTAGCTCACGTGGAAAATGAGGAGCAGTACGTTCAGTCCATGCACAAGTTCGGGGAAAACTACCTGACCCGGGGTGACAGGGATGACTGCGATGTCGGCTCTGCCTTCATCAAGTTTGTCGTTTTCACCAGAGAGCTGACAGCCCTCTTCAAGAACCTGGTGAGGAACCAAAGTCAGCCTCAGAGAGTGAAACATCAGACATTTTATTGTGAAAAGTGTTAAATGTAGAAAGTGTGGTGTGTTTTGCGCATTTGTGCTGTGACACAACTTCCTGTTTGCAGCTGCAGAACATGAACAACATCATCACATTCCCTCTGGACAGTCTGCTGAAAGGAGACCTGAAAGGAGTGAAAGGGGTTGGTGTCACTTTCTTCTTCCTGCTGAAACAAACCCGCAGACACTCGCTCAGTTACACTTCACTTGCTGTTACTGTGGCTAAAAATGAATCATGTTTGGTTAGATGACATGTTGACTGTGTATTTACAATAATTACATCAGAACTGTAATCATTTTAAACACACAGCTTCAGATTTAACAAATAAAATCACGCTGGGGTCCCACATTAATGTCTAAATATCTTTGTACCACAGCAGCAAACCAGCCACTGTAAAATCCTCCGTTTCCTGTCATATGAAAAAACAAAAGCAGGAAATCGAAATAAAAGATCATTTTTTGTTTTTTCTGATTTATTCAATATTATTTTTCCTGCTTTATGCTCAGTTTGAATAATTAAAAAAAAAAACTGCTTCTTGAATTATAAAATGTAGGCATGTTAGGTAAGGTGGCCCTGAGGTGCCAAATACAACATTTAATTTCTGCAAAACACTGAACAGTTTTTCTTGTAGTTGTGCGATGAGCATAACTTCCTGTTTGTAATGGTGGTGTCGTCCTGCAGGCTGTGGCTCGTGGCATAAAGACTAAATGGCTGAATTTAAAACACCTCTGTCGTGACACGGTCACCATTGTGTTTGTTTTTCTAATCTAACGCACATGCTATCATCTAGAAATATTTCCAGAGTGACTCAGAGGTTAGAGTCCTGTGTGTGTGTGTGTGTGTGTGTGTGTGTGCGCGCGCGCGCGCGCACGTTTATGAACTGTGACTGTGTGACGTCTGTTTTTCCTGCAGGATCTGAAGAAGCCGTTCGATAAGGCCTGGAAGGATTACGAGACCAAACTGTAAGAAGGGCTCATTATCAGCTGCTCTCACTGAAATGTTAAATCACGGAAACGAGAACACGTTAACCAGTCGACTCATTCAGCATTTAAATGAGAATGTTTGACTAAAGTTATCTTTATTGTTTCTGTCTCCACAGACTGATACATGCTCTTTTTTTTCCTTTTTTCTCAAAAAAAGAAGAAAAGATAAAATATGATGATTGAAATCATGGCGTTTCTTGGCTTCTGTATTTTAGCATCTTTCTATTTTTTTCTTCTCCTCAGTTTGTTGTTTTGATCACATTTTTTTGTGTTGAGATTTTAACATGACCTTTGACCTCTGCAGAGCGAAGATTGAGAAAGAGAAGAAAGAGAACGCCAAGATGCATGGCATGATTCGGACGGAGTTCAGCGGAGGAGAAATCGCAGAGGAGATGGAGAAGGAGAGACGAATGTTCCAGCTGCAGATGTGCGAGGTGAGGTCAGAGGTCACACAGGTGACCTGAATGCTAAAACAATCATCTCTATCCTCTGAGGTCAGACCGAGAGCAACGTTTGTTTTACTGCCTCGACCAGTCAGCGCAGATTTTATATGACGTGGAAGATTTGGTGGACAGAGGTCTGTGACTGATTCTTTTCAGAAGTTTTCCAGTTTGATGGTTTTCAGGGTTTGTAGCTTTTTTGGCTTCATCAGGCGCTGATCTTCAGCTCAGTCTGTGTTTCTCATGGTTTTTTGTTGGTCATGAGTAGAGAAGGAGTGGAGGGTGAATTCTGTGGATATGCTGGTAAAGAGGTGACAGAAAAAAAGCCGTGAAAACGAGCTTCCTCTGAAGGCTGTCCAGGCTCGCTGTTAGAGACCCGATGAGGATCAGCTCAGAGTAAAGCCAGCCGAGATGGTACTGACCAGGATGCCTAAACAAGATGAGGTTTAAAGGCCAGGAGAAGACCCCGGGCAGACCCAGGAAATGCAGAGATGATCTCTCAGCGGTTTGGGAATGCCTCAGTGTCCTCCTAGAAGAGCTGGAGGAGGACAAGGAAGGACTGGTCATGCAGTAACGGTTATTTTCTTCAGTTTTTCTTGATTCTTTGGCTTTTCTCTGCAGTACCTGCTCAAAGTGAACGAGATCAAAGTGAAGAAAGGAGTAGACTTCCTCCAGAACCTCATCAAGTTTTACCATGCTCAGTGCAAGTATGTCCAAACGTGACCAACAGGTCCATGTATGAGTAAGGTGTTAAAGAAAAGATAATAAAGTGTGAATATTAAAACATTAATTTTGTTATTGATTCACTTTTTCCTTGGAGGTTCTCAAACGTTTTTTTCTTCAGTTTTTTCCAGGATGGACTGAAAGCTGTGGAGACTCTGAAACCGGCCGTAGAGAAACTGTCCACAGACCTGACAGCGGTGAGGACGCTTGTGTTCCCTGCAGGAGCATTAAAGCTCACAGCTCACTTACCGATCGCTCTGTGCGAACGCAACAATGGGCTTAAAGTTAGAGTTTCTCTTCCTCTGCAGATCAAACAGACTCAGGACGGCGAGAGGAAGCAGCTGGCTCAGCTCCGAGACACCCTGAAGGCGGCACTGCAGTCCGATCAGAAAGAGGTAAAAAACATCAAACATGGTGTAACATCCATTTGACTGATGGCACAGACCGAAAACATGAACACAGTTACAATGCAGGATAAACACGAGGGTAAAGAGTCGCTAACATGCGCACAGCAGTTAGAACAAACATGGTCTGAACAGATGTCATGAGTCTGATGGTGAGCATAACCAGGTGAGCTCTGACAGGCTCACCTGTTACTGGAAAGGAAGTTGATTAACAAAGCTGTCCATCAAACAGAGGCTGCTCTGAGCTCTGAACTCTGTGTAGGGTCATAGTTCTCACGTCTTTCTGTCATAAGAGCTGCTTCACATAAAGTGTCTGATTTATTGACAGGACGCCCAGGCCAAACAGAACGCAGGTTACAGCCTCCATCAGTTGCAGGGTGACAAAGCCCACGGCAACGAGCGCTCTGGTTTCCTCTACAAGAAAAGTGAAGGGTGAGCGAACTCAGTGTCCCAGAATGCCATATGAATGTGACTGACATGCACATGCAGTTCCTGTGACGTCCAGCAGAGGCAGCATTTAGTCAGTCTACACAGACTCGATGTTAAATGTAACATATTTACAGATTTAACATGTTTTCCTCCTTCTGCACACGTGTGTTAGTGGTAGCTGCCTCAGTCACGACTCCACTCTATGACCTTTCACACTAAAAGCTTTGTCTCTCTCCTCGTCAGACTGAGGAAGGTGTGGCAGAAGAGAAAGTGCTCGGTGAAGAACGGCTTCCTGACCATCTGTCACGGGACGGTAAGGTCCTCTTCTCCCATTGGTCCATGACAAGCCCCCGCCCTCCAGCCTGCACTACATGTCCAATCAGAAATCTCCTCATGAGTTTATCGTCTACATCAGGGGTAGACAACTCCAGGCCTCGATTGCCGGTGTCCTGCAGGTTTTAGATGTGTCCCTGTTCCAACACAGCTGATTCAAATTGCTAAATGACCTCCTCAACATCCCGTGAAGTTCTCCAGAGGGCTGGTAATGAACTAGTCATTTGATTCAGGTGTGTTGACCCAGGGTGATATCTAAAACCTGCAGGAACCGGCACGCGAGGCCTGGAGTTGCCTACTCCTGGTCTACATTAAGTGGGGTTAAATAGTACATTATCTATTTATTTATTTTTTTAGTTTCTTTTGTGCCTTCTGTTTTTTATTTTGAAGTTTGAGCAGTCAAATGGCCAATCAGGACTGAGCTAGCAGAACACAAAGAGCAGAAGGAAAATGATTAAAAGAAAAGGGTGGGAAAAGGATTTGATTTGAAATCTGAGGGCTGCTGGAGAGAAAGTTTCTAATTCTTCTTAACTGTTTCTCTTTAACTTTCAGCCTTTTGTTTCTCCTTGAGCTTGCTGAAAAGCAAATTCAAAGAAAAACAAACCTCATATCTACAGATTCACAGTAACACATATCTTCAGTTCTATTTAAGGTAAATTTCAAGATTAGACTCATGTTTCTGAGAACCGGGTTTCCAAGGTAACCTACACCTTCTTGATAGCTGTCGGTACATCCTTGGGTACATCCCTCCTTCAGAGTAATGTTCCTTCATGAAAGCATTCCTTCAGAGACACGTTTCTTCAGCGTAACATGTCCAGGATTACGCCAACCCTTCACAGCTGGTAGAAACCTTCCACATTTACCACTCAGACTCAAATGAAGACAGGTACTGCAGACAGAGTCCTCGCAGTGCTCCATCTGCGGTCAGCTCACCGAGTTCATCCGTCTTATGGTCCAATGTGCACTTATTCCCACTCCCATTCCCACTCCTTTCTGAGGATAGGTGAAGCGATATTGGAGGGTATTTCTAGTTTAGTATTTCTTTTTTCTTTTCTTTTCCTAAATTGCATTTTGTTTACATGATCAAAATGAATTGAACACAAAGATACAAACGTTGCGCATGATGATCAGCTCCAGCTCTGAAACCTGACTCTTGCCTTGCTTTGGGGAGTAGAACCGTCAGCTGCAGAAGATCCTCTGATATCAAAAATGTGAAGGAAAAACGTCATAAAACTTTAGTCTACCAGACTTAAAACGGGTCCATGGGCCCATAGTGGGTATGTATGGGTGAACTGTGGGGCCCGCATGGTACGCCCATTTAGGGAGGCAGGAGACAGTGGTGGAGGCAAGAGGAGGAAAGGAAAACCCTGTGGTTCATCAATAGTTTCCTTATGAATGAGACGTTTTGTGGCATGAAAAGCCAGAGGATCAAAAGTCATCAGTCATCAGTCATCAAAAGTCACACATGCATTCAAGGGGCCAAGATTTATCTGCATGGCTTCAACAATGACTTTTACAGCAATTGAGTTGACACCTGAAGAACTTAATAACTTGAAAACAGTAGAAAATGAGATTACAGAAAGTCACTGAGGTTAATCATCTCAGAACTTTAAATGATATGTGCAGATGTTTTGCAAGATGAGGGAAGGTTTTGAGTTGTGCAGCTTAAAGTCCTTACAGGTTCTTGCTGTGGGCTGAACCTAACTGGGATCCAACTATTGTCCATGTTATGGTATATAGCAGTACAGACTCTGTGACAGTTTCAGGATCTTTTCTCTGTAACGCTGAATGTTTGATATCTGAGTGAGGTTCAGTCAGAGCTGAGCTCTCACCTCCTCTCGTTGTCTTGCAGCCAAACAAACCTCCAGCCAAGGTCAACCTGCTCACCTGCCAGGTGAAGAGGAACCCCGATGAGGAGAAGAAAAGCTTCGACCTGTTCTCCCGTATGCTGCAGACTTCCTGCTCACATGTTCCTCTGTATATATGTGTGTAAAGTCTAAACTCTGTCTCGTGCCCCCCCCAGATGACCGGACCTACCACTTCCAGGCCGAGGACGAGGCCGAGTGTCAGATGTAAGTACGAGCAGGCATGGCCTGAGCTGCCGGGCTTCGCGCTACTGCGAGCGCTTATGGTTTGGTGTTTTTTAGCTGGGTGTCGGTGCTGCAGAACAGCAAGGAGGAGGCGCTGAACAAGGCGTTCAAAGGAGACCAGGACGAGGGTGAGAACAACATCGTCCAGGAGCTGACCAAGTCCATTGTGGGAGAGGTGAAGAAGAGGACTGGAAACAACAGCTGCTGCGACTGTGGAGCTGCAGGTCAGAATTATTCAGAAGTCTCTCTCAAACAAACACCACTCATGAAAAGAAACAAAATTCAAAGATTAAACACGGAAGTCCAGTCACTCACGGTCAGGTCAAAAAAGTAGTGACGCTTGAATGAGTCTTTCACCTTTCCATCTGGTTTGAGGGTCTGGACTTGGATGCGTTTCTTTCAGAGGATGCTGATTAGACTCACGGTGGTGGCCTTGACAGTCTTGTTTTAATTTTAAGGCTTCCTGCACATACTCAGAGCAAAAACCAGTGACAGCTTAGTTCTGCCGGCGTTCTAACCCCACTGACCTCTGCAGGACTGCTTGTGGAAAGCTCTGGGCCTTCAGGCAGTTTTTTTCCTTTGCGGTTGTTTTGTGTGGGGTTATTTTGTTTTTGGCATTGAAGTTGTTTTATGCAACTTTTTTAGTTGGTCTGTTGCTTTAAACCTAGCTGATATTCTTGTAGATGATGGTTTACTGAACTGCACTGTGAACACTTGATGTGGAACTTCATAGCACTTCTATTTCCTGTCATGGTTTACAGAAGTGAGAACACGTTAGTGTCATGAGAGAGGGCGCATCAACAGTCTCTCTAATAACACCACAAAACACGTTTTCATCTGTTCATCTCAGCACGTCCAAAGATTAGATTAATAACATACAGTTTTTTTAATCAATTATATATTCAACATTCACTATATTGCCAAAAGTATTCACTCAGCTTCCTCACGTGGACCTGTAGTCCAAACACATTTCTGCTCAGAGCTGCAGAAACTTCCCAGAATTCTTTTCCAGGTTTGTCTGTCAGCAGATTGTTAATTCATCTCATTCACTTTGTTGTTTCTTTAGTCTTGAAATTACATTTTGAGGATGTGAAGGCACCGCTTGTTGTTTCTGTGCCCCCACCCACCCTCTACAGATCCCTCCTGGCTATCCACGAACCTCGGGGTGCTGATCTGTATTGAGTGCTCAGGGATCCACAGAGAAATGGGGGTCCACTACTCCAGGATCCAGAGTCTGGACCTGGACGTCCTGGGAACCTCTGAGCTGCTGGTGAGTCCACTTCACTGTCCCGACAGAAGGTCAGAGCATTCTGTTTGTCAGTTTGCGGTGACTCATTTCATCATGACTTTAATCTGTTAAATAAAATTAAAATATTTGCAGGAAAAAGCCAAAAAAGCAAAGCAAAAAACCCTCAGATTTTTACCATCCTGCAAGACTGTCTCATGATTCGTTTAAAACTGTTTCTTTGAAATCTCTTAACCTCATTATATTCACCTGTGTGAAGACGTGAATGGAAGGGACATTCTGAATGTTTGCAAACCTTTTCTGGAATAATCAGGGAACCAGAACCCTTGCCGAGCATGTCAGTCGTCTTCAGCTGTGAAGAATCAGGAAGTGTGATCACGTGTCTAATCTTAGGAGCTACAGCCAGAACCGAACCAGAGTTGATGTTGGGCTTTTGTTGCCTTTTAGTTGGCGAATAATGTGGGAAACGCCAGCTTCAATGAGATCATGGAGGCAGATCTGTCAGCGCAGGAAGTGACCAAACCAACTCCAACCAGCGACATGTAGGTGACGGCATCAGGAGGTGAGTCTGAGCTATAGTAGGATGTCGTAGTGACTCGTCCGTCTGGTTTGCAGGCAGATGAGGAAGGACTACATCACAGCGAAGTACACCGAGAAACGCTTCGCCCGGCGGAAGTGCACCGACGCCGCGTCCAGGCTGCGGGCTCTCTATGAGGCCATCAGGAACCGAGACATTCTGTCGCTTATCCAAGTCTACGCTGAGGGGGTGGACCTGATGGATGCCATCCCACAGCCCAACGAACATGTATGACCTCCTCATCTCTAACACGAGTTTGACGGACTGACTCATGCGTCTCTCTGTTGTGTCTTTGTGCTCATTTTGTGTCTGTTTTTACTAAGCTTTTACTCTTAAGCTCTGATTTGTGTGTCCATTCAGTAACACGTAGACACAGCTCTGTGCAGGTGTCCGTTGTTGCTCTGCAGACTGACTGTGTGTGTGTGTGTGTGTGTGTGTGTGTGTCAGGAACCCGGGGAGACGGTGCTCCACCTGGCGGTCCGAATGGGCGACAGAAACTCGCTCCACATTGTCGACTTCCTCGGACAAAACAGGTGTGACTGTTCAATTAAATACCTGTTCTCCAGGTGTGTGTATGTGTGTAGTGACCGGGTCTGTGTTTCAGCGGTAACCTGGACAAGCAGACGACCAGAGGAAACACGGCGCTGCATTACTGCTGCCTAACCAACAACAGCGAGTGCCTGAAACTGCTGCTGAGGGGGAAAGCTTCAGTGTCCATCAGTAAGAACACACACACTTGCACATATATCAGAGCGTGCTGAATGCTGACGATGAGTGACAAGTGCTCATATCATTCATATGAGCATTACACACTCAAATGTTGCTTTTTATGATCTTTTACCGTACGACTGGTCTGAAATCTGTCCAAACTTGAGGTTTTAAGATGTATTTATGCAGTGTGTGATTGTTCTAAACTTTATGACATCGTTGTAAAGTCGTTGGAAAAAGTGTGTGGTACAGCTCTTTTCATGCCCTTTAATATGATATATCACTCGATAAGGTTTCTTGAAATGTTTTATAAGAGGAACTTTGACATGGGCGCTAATGATGAAGGTCAAGTTCAAATAACCAGCCAACCTGGCTCTAGTTTATTGTTGTGAGGTTTGAAGAAATAAAAGCAAGTTTCACAGCTGGTGTGACCCTCATCTGGGGCTGTTATTGTTTCTACCATCACATAAAATTTAAATGATGTCTTGAGAACAAACAGAGCTGAGTACTTTGTCTTTTCAGGGGGAGAAAAACCTGCAGTAACACAAGAAAAGTGCAGATCTAATCATCTTTCCCTTTTGGAAACAATGTGCTGACATAATTCACCAAAAGTCTGAATGACTGAATTTGTGTCCACAGCTAACGATGCAGGAGAAACACCGCTGGACATTGCCAAACGTATGCGACACAAAGAGTGCGAAGAACTGGTGAGAATCCAAACACTTCCAGGCTGTTCAAAGTAAAGCAGTTCCTGTGCTGTCGAGTGTCTGTACCAATAAAGTTTGATTGATGTGTTCCAGCTGACTCAGGCTCAGACCGGAAAGTTTAACGTCCATGTTCACGTCGAGTATGAGTGGCGTCTGCAAAACGAAGACCTGGATGAGAGCGATGACGAGATGGAGGACAAGGTAGGCTGCTTTTCTGACGTCCTGCATTAAACTTTCTGTTGGCTTTAAGTGACCGTGTACTTCCTGTGTTTTCTGTGGGTCCTGCAGCCCATCCCACAGCGGCGGGAGGAGCGCCCGGTCAGCTGCTTTGTGCCTGGAAGTGGACCCGTGCAGCCCAACCTGGCGGCACTGGCGTGGGATGTTGCCTCCCTGGCATTAGACAAGCAGCGGCCTGCGATCCCCAGCACCATTATTAGCAATGAGACTTACGGCACCATGCTGAATGTGAACCTGCCGCCCCCCGGCCCAACGCCCCCGCTTCCTCCCCGAGGACCCAGCAGAGGTCAGAGGGCGCCTGGGCTGAGATCAGCTCTGCTGTTTAGACCCTGTGAAGCTGTGAGGAAATAAAACTGATCTGATTCTGTCTTGTCACCATCAGGTACCAATAAAGGCACCTCCGTGGAATCAGTAGGCAGACAGCGGTCGTCCTCCGACCCCCCCAACCCTCAAACGCCAGAGAGGAACTCCAAGTACGGTGTGTGGACTTCCTGTCAGATCCACAGCGGAGGGTCTCGTTTGTGATGTTTTTCTTTGCGTCCGTCAGCTTTATTTGGCTTTGTTGCTTTATTTTCACGAAAAGAGCAGACAGTTCTGTCCTCTTTCTGAGGTATGAACCGGCTGTATGAGGCTTTCAATTCAATTCAAGTTCAGTTCAATTCAATGAATTTAAATTCAGTTCAATTCAATTTTAATTATACATGGCCAAATCAAAACAACAGTCGCCTCAAGGCGCTTAATATTGTAGGGTAGAAACCTAGATACATACGGAGAATACCCAACAATCATATGACCCCCTATGAGCAAGCACTTTGAGACAGTGGAAAGAAAAAAAATCTCTTTTAACAGGAAGTAAGCTCTGGCAAAACCAGGCTCAGGGACAGGCGGCCATCTGCTGCGACCGGTTAGGGTGAGAGAAGGAAGACAAGATAAAAGACATGCTGTGAAAGAGAGCCAGAGATTGATAACAATTATGATTCATTCATGATTTATTCATGATGCAGAGAGGTCTATTAACACATAGTGAAGGAAGAAGAAGAAACACTCAGTGCATCATGGGAATCCCCCAGCAGCCTACACCTATTGCAGCATAACTAATGCTGGGCATACACTGTGCGACTTTTGGCCCATTTTGAGGCAATTTTTTTTTTCAGTCGTGTGACCATTTTGGTGATCGGCCCGAGTTTCACCTTCATCGTGTGTCATGCGTCGTGTAGTATTGTGACAAAGTGGCTAGGACTGAATTCATTTACCATTTGTCACATGCATAAATTGTTATTTTGTGTTCTGTTATCTTATAGAACACAAAATAAGCACATGTAATCTTGGCTCTACATACTATCCCGGGTCTGTTTGTATTAGCATTGGTTATATTCATTTCATCTGTGCAAATGTTCTTAAAGCTAAGAACAATCTTTCATTTGTTTATATAGTTTGGTTATACTTACCATTGTGTGTTCCTTTGAGCAGGTCCTATGTGTAAAACAGGTATGTGGGAAGGGCTGCCCCAGTACTTCCTGATTTTATAGGTTATGATGTCATTGATCATGTCAATTGGGTGTAACCAAATGTTTCTTTTGTGTAAAATTGTTTATTTCATTTAAAATAACCTCATGAGTCAGATTAAGTGAAGAGATTGACTTTTCAAACTGTTTAATTGGGTGAATGAGTTTGTTAAGTGGAAAAATTATTTTTTTCCTGTTTCTGATGGTGGTTGTATGTCTGTGTGAATGAAAGACAGAGAGGGAGAGCGAGAGACAGATTTTGTTTTATAACCTTCATGTTAGGGATGCACAGTGTGAGCACTGAGGTAGCATCAGAGCATCAGGCCGCATAGTGTGAGACCCTGCATGGTGACCTACAAACTTCTAACCCCTGCAAGTCAATTGTACAGTTTGAGCAGAAGCTGATTAACGTGACTAAAAAAATCGCACAGTGTATGCCCAGCTTAAGGGAGGATTCAGGGCCACCTGATCCAGCCCTAACTATATGCTTTAGCAAAAAGGAATGTTTGAAGCCTAATCTTAAAAGTAGAGATAGTGTCTGTCTCCTGAATCCAAACTGGAAGCTGGTTCCACAGAAGAGGGGCCTGAAAATGGAAGAATCTGCATCCCATCTACTTTCAAATACTCTAGGAACAAGAAGTAAGCCTGCACTGCACGAGCAAAGTGCTCTAATGGGGTGATATGGTGCTACAAGGTCATTAAGATAAGATGGGATCTGATTATTTAAGACCTTGTATATGAGCTGGATTTTGAATTCTGTTCTGGATTTAACTGGGAGTCAGTGAAGTGAAGCCAATATAGGAGAAATATGCTCTCTCTTTCTGTTCCCTGTCAGTACTCTTGCTGCAGCATTTTGGATTGCTTTCAGGCTCTGACTGTGGAGGTGTGCCTGGAGCCACTGCTCAGGGCTTTCTTGACTCTTGTTCTGCCCTCTTCTCCCAGTGCTCTCACTGGTTCCTCCTCCTCCTCCTCCTCCTCCTCCTCCTGGGCCCAGCAGGAGAACCGGCATGTTGGAGACCAAAGCCGCCACAGCCAAGACTGCCCCCCTCCCTCCTCTGCCTCCCCTGCCGACAGGACTACCTACAGCACCTCCAGTCCCGCCACCGCCCTGCATCCCACCTCCATCACCACCCCAGCATAAAGTTCCTCTCCTCCCACCCAGCCACCAACACAGAGGACCACCAGGATCCAAAGCCCCTGTCTCTCCTCCCGCGTACGTACTGGTCTGATTGAGCTGGGTCTGCTGGGAGGAAGCACACCAGTTTAATGTTGTTCTTATGATTACAGAGCAGCGAGGGTTCCTCCTCCTCCTCAGAGACCTGCAGGCACGATTCCGTTGGAAAAACAAGGTACACGCACACACACACACACGAGCACACACACTAAAATATCCACAATCAGTAACATGAAAATATTTGAATTTCACTCAGGCTGCAGCACCGCCTTCTTGGATGTTAGTACAGTAACTCACAGCAGCATATTATTGGTCGTAAGATGTCATTAAAAATGCTCTAAAAGGCTCCAGCAGCACAAACATGGTGCAGACATCCAGTTCAGGTGAAGCTAGCAGACAGCTAGCAGCTACAGGCACCTGTGTCAAACTTTAAGCCTGAATATGATGTAAGCAGGTGTGTTATAAAAACATAACTGCTGTTAAAAGGCTGAAACTTTTGTGCTTTGACAAGGGACTGTTAATAGAGCTCTGTGGAACACCACGACCTGCAAGAACACACTCACATGATCTCTGATGTCACTCATTCAAGGAAAGCTGTGATTATGGTGTACAATACATCAGTGAAATACCCCCGTCATGGTTTAATGAGGTCAGGTGCTCATTAAACCTCAACACTGGATGTTTCTCTGTGTGAAACTTAAGGGTATCTTTGCAGTTTCGTGCCATGTCAGATATTCTGGTGCTTTACTGCAGTGGTTCCCACCCCTTGGGTCTGTGAGTGGTTTGGTACCAGGCCATGAGAGTTGAGGCTCGAGTGTGAAATTCGTGGTTTTCAGGGGTTTTATTGTTTTTTAGCGTTAACTCTGTTTCCCTGGGTCTTTTCCCATGTGATAACATAAGATAACATAACCTTTATTAGTCCCACACATGGGAAATTTGTTTTGTTACAGCAGAGAGTGAATAGTGCAAAGTTGCATAGAAAAACACTGGAATAGGATAAAAATAAGATACTGTACACAATAGAATAAAATAAAATACAAATGCAATATACATTTGACAGCAGTGTGGAGGAAAGACCTGCGAAATCGCTCTGTCCTACACTGTGGAGCTGCTCAGTGCTGTCAGAGTCTCCTGCATGGGGTGAGAGATGTTGTCCACCAGGGATGACAGCTTAGCCACCATTCTCCTGTCACTCACCACCTCCGCTGGGTCCAGCGGGCATCCTAGAACAGAGCTGGCCCTCCAGATCAGCCTGTTCAGTCTCTTCCTGAACCAGCAGAGATGCTGCCACCCCAGCAGACCACACCGTAAAAGATGGCTGAGGCCACCACAGAGTCATAGAAGGTCTTCAGGAATAGGCCCTTCACTCCAAAAGACCTGAGTCTCCGCCGTAGGTACAGCCTGCTCTGCCCTTTTCTGTAGAGGGTGTCTGAATTATGAGTCCAGTCCAGTTTATTGTTCAGATGAACACCAAGGTACCTGTAGCTGTCCACAGTCTCAATGTCCATGCATCGAATGTTTAGTGGTTGCAGTGGAGGATGTTTGTGCCTGCTGAAGTCTACCACCAGCTCCTTGGTTTTACTAGTGTTCATCTGGAGGTAGTTCTGCTGGACCCAGTCCACAAAGTCGTGGGTCAGTTCTCTGTACTCCCTGTCGTCCCCATCACTGTGGCCAACTATTGCCAAGTCGTCAGAGAACTTCTGAAGGAAGCACTGGGTGGAGTTGTGGGAGAAGTTGTTTTGTTGAAGCTGGTTCTCCATCTTCTGCCTGTAGCTAAACTTCCCTTTCCTTATCAGTCCTCCAGCTCTCTCTGCAAGGCCCTCCTCTTCTGCTCGAAGACGGTTAATCCAAGGTTTGTTGTTGGAGAAACAGCGCACAGTCCTGCTGGGTGCAACGTTATCCACACAGAAGTTGATATAGTCCGTAATGCATGTCACAAGGCTGTCAATGTCCTCTCTGTGGTCGTCACAGATCAGCTCCCACACAGTAGATTCAAAACAGTCCTTAAGAGCCTCCTCGCTCTCCTCTGACCATCTCTGCACTGTTCGGGCAGCTGGTAGCTTCCTGCACAATAAGGGCTCATACACAGGTTGTGATGAGATCTGCCCAGGGGAGGGAGAGGTGATGAACTGTATGCCTCTTCTGCATTGGTGTACAGTAAGTCCAGTGTTTTATTGTCTCTGGTTGGGCGTGTCACATACTGGGTGAAGGTGGACAGTGTGGAGTTCAGTGAGACATGATTAAAGTCCCCTGATATTAGGAGAAGTGATTGCGTTTGCAGTCTGCTGACTACAGAGTGGAGAGAGTCACTGGCTGCATCCGCGTTGGCCGAGGGGGGGGACATGCGCTGTTATCGTGATAACATGCGAGATTTCCCGGGGGAGCTAGTACGGACACATGCTAACGGCTAGAGGAATTTCAATACACAGCAGTATATTCACAGTTTAAACCAGATATTTACATACACTTTATGGAAAACACAAGAACATTTTTTACTGTTAAACATCAATTTAGAGTAAACTTGTTTTGGATAAATAAATATTGAAAGATCTTTTGAATTAGTTAAATGTCGGAATAAGAGACAGAGCTGTCTATTTTTTATCACTTTCATCAAATGTAGGAGTGCATATACACTAAGTTTATTGTTAATTAATAAGAAAACTGCAGACGATTCCATTCTGAGCTGAAGAAGCTTCTGATAGGTTAGTAGAGTCCATGTGAGTAAATTGGTGACACACCTGTGGATGCATATAAGGCAAAACACAGAGCCTGTTTCTGTGACATGGGAAAATCAAGAGATGTCAACCAAAACACCAGGAAAAGAACTGTGGAGCTCCATAACTGTGGCTCAGTTTGAATACAATTTGGTGCCATTTACAATTAAGAAATACAGATAGTTTCTCTCTTTACTCTTAAAGCTAACAAATATGTTTTTTTTATATTTATCAATCTAAAAAAATAAACATTTAGTCTGATTTGATGTTACAATTAAAAAAGTGTTTGTGTTTTTATCTGAAGAGTATGTAAATATCTGGTTTCAACTGTATGTTTGATGATGTTGATGTTTGCCGTGATTGTCAGCACAAAGAGGGAGAGAGAGCAGGCGAGACACACATGTTAGTCAAATGGTTGTTTACCAAAAGTATCACCGTATCATAGGTCCTCATGTATCTCGTACCTAGTGTTTCTTTCTTCTCTTTTTTTTTGTTATTTTTCAAACTCTATATTTATTAAGTTATGCAGGATTGTTTGCACAACAAGGCTAAATAATTATATAAACTTTTCTCAATCTAAATAGTGGACTTTGGTAGAATTAAAAAATAAGTGTAGTGCAGGTCTATGATGATTTTTAGTGCTACTATCATCTAGTTCTGATTCTGTCTTGGTTAAATCCTAAGTAGTCCTGATTTTGAACTGTTGTGTCCTGTTTTAATTCCGGATCAGTTCTGGGTCTGGTTGA